TATTATTATTTTCTATGTATTAGTTGGGTGCATTTCTCTTTTATCAAAAGTTGTGAACCTTTGTCTTTATGGTGGGGGGGCCTATTGACTATTAACTTTGGATGGGAAAGCAAAAGAAGAATGAATCTCTATTCTAAACTTTTTTTTCCATTTAATTTTGTCATACAAAATTATATCATCGTTGACTTTAATCTTCTAATGTTGGTGGCTTAACCCAACCTTAAAATTTTAATATAGCAAAGGATAATTATTGAAGACCCTTAGAGAAAAAGGGAGGACAATTATTGAATATTTTTTACTGTATTACTTTGTTTTAAGAAGGAGCAATCATCTGTTCATACTTGTAACTGGAGTTTTTATGAACTAATAATGGAAACCAAAAGGAATTTAGTTTTAAAATTTAAATATTTGAAGTAGAATTAGCTTAGTGAAAAGTCCAAGAATAGATGAAGCACACAGTAGAGAAAAAAATGGCTAAAATTTAGGGATGGTAACAGATCATATCAGAGCAAATTTTTACTTACCTCGAACCCGATCCGACTTTATATTCATAAAAATCGAACCCGATCCGACTTAATTTTTTTTTTTTTCATATTTGAACATGACCTGATCCGATCCAAAATTGTATAAATCGTACCCGATATGATCCGATTCAAATTTAATAAAATATTATTTTTAAATATAAATATAAATTAAATAAATATATATAATTAAATAATTATTTAAAAAATAAAATTATATATATATATATTAGGTTGAGTCATATCAAGTTTACCTAAATTCTGATCCCAACCTAATCCTGATTTTTTTTAATATTATTTGATCCGAAACTCGATTTAAAAAAAAAAATCTAACCTTATAAGATTAAATTGAGTTAGAACCCATCGAAAACAGGTTGGGCTGCCAACCGTAGCAAAATCTAAAATTTTGATTTGATGTAATGTTTAAGTAAATCACTTTCATACATGAAAAAAAAAAAGATGAACTGTATTTGAATTACTTCATTAACTAAATAATAATTTGATGAAATGGAAAACAAATATATATATATATATATATAATTGTCTCATTCAAAATGAAATTCCAATATTTTGCTCTTCAAACAGCAAAATTGGATTTAATTCTTAAAATAAAAACAAGTATATTTAATATTTGCATTGGTGATTGTTTGTCATAGGCTACAAGACTCTTTATTGCCATTTGGTTTTAAAAGCTCTTTTCTATATAACTTATTTCCCCATATATTTTTCAAGTAACGTGAGAAACCCACGCTTCTTTCTTTTTTTTTTTTAAATCAATAATACATGACCGACATTGAAGCTGACATGAATTTGTCCTATTTTGTTTGTCAAACCAATCAATAGGAAATTTGAAGGAAATTGACATGAAACATCTTCAGAGTTCAACTAGCGTTAAATTATAAGATTAAAAAAAAATTAAAACATTGACGGATATTGATGTTTAATTTTAAGAGGGTAGAAATAATAAATTTATAATAATAAATTGTTTTTATTACTACTTCATCTTTAGACGAAAATTGCAGTGCTGATTGCTCGTAAAATTCCAGCAATCAATTCATCAGACATGGCATACCCTTTATTGTATATGCCACTCTTCTAACTCTGATGATTTAATTTCAAGATAATAAAGTTGGGAAACCTATTGGCACAACAATACTAAATATAGAAATGTAACTTTGATGATTTTCATTAGAAATGGACAGCTGAGTATATTAAATATAAAGAACAGAGCAATTAATAGGCAACCTAATAGAGCTATTTCAACCAAATAAGTTTCTCTTTACTCATATGTTAATCCTTTTTTTTTTTTTGGAAATATGGTGGTCAATTTTTTTATTTTTATGCTAGTAAAATAAATTATAGTAAGCATATATATTATTTCTAATTTAGAACAATTATTTGAATGGAATGTTATTATTCAGTCACTTTTAAAAAAATCAAATTCAATAAATAAATGTTGTCCGCTTAAAAACTTTGATTGCAATCCATGAGATAATATTTTTACATGATACGCATTTGTAATATTGATTTTTTTTCGTGAAATGTATTTATAATTCTAGACATTCAAGTGTTTTAGCTTCTCATTGATGATAAAATGGTTTAGAAAATACATTGAATTTGGTAAGTTTGGGTGGTTTTCCCCTATTTGAGAAGGAAAAATTATTCAAATATATGATTGCTAAATGTATATTAAGGTATAATTAAAAAATACTAATAAATTAAATAATTATCAAATAAATTCTTATCAACTATAATATTTTGATTTTAACTATTTATAATGCTACTTTTTTAAAATATAGAAACTTGGCAAAGAAAATGAAAATAAATTAATATACATATTTCTTGCATTTATTTTCTTCATATGTAGTTGCTGTCTTTTGATTCTATTATGATATTCTATTTGGTTTAATATTTTCATGGTTTTTAGTTCTTTTTCTTTTGTTGTTATTAATTGTTTTAATTCAATGCCTTTTAAGTTATAATGCTCAATTAAATTTTCCTTTACTTTTCAAATCCAATTGCCTTAACTTTCATGATGTTTAGCTTTGTAGATACATTAGTTTTCTACTCATGTCCTTTTTAATATAGGTTATGTTCACCTTTACTTGCTTGCTTTTTAATTTTCTTGCAATTTAACTTTTACACGTTATTTATGTTTCAAGTACTTTTATTTTCTATATTATCTAAATTTATGCAATTTACTTTTCTTACTTTTTACATTTATGTAATTTAAAATTTCATGTAATTTAATTATAGTGTTTATTTAAATTTTCAAACTATTTTATTTTTGTTAGATTTGAATATATCTATAGTGCTAAAAAAGAGAAAAACTTGCATCATATTTTGATCACAACCAATAATAACACATTGCCTATGAATATTTTCCTACAAGCAATAAATTATTTTTAATGCAAAAATCAACATAAAAATATCTGTTAAAAATAAATTAAACATCTAAAATAAAAATTGAGCACAAATGAGTGTAATAAAAGACCCATCCAAAAACAACAATAAAAATAAGTACAAAGTGCAAACACGAGAAGAAAAATATTATTAAAACAATGAATTTAAAGTATAATTAAGCTTGCAAAAAAAGACATTAGGGTAAATAAGCAAACCAACCAAAAATAAATGACAAAAGTTAACAAATCATGCAAAAAAGAACATGACATACAAGTAGCATATTTAAGATAGATAATAGACAACATCATAAGTGCAAAGTAATTAATATAAAACTACAACAAATTGAATGATCGTTAGAGCTTTCGACACAAAAAAGACACATAACAAATAAAAAATATAGAAAACTTAAATATTATAATAATAGATGATCATATTCTTTATTCCTCTAACAACAAAATTTACAGCAACCAAAAATAAAAAATGTAAAACACCGAACCAAGTGAAAAAAAAAAATAACAACACTAAAAGCATGCATACCAAGTGAATCTAATACTTTCTTAAAAAATAAAAACTGAATTTGAAACAAGAAAACGGATGGAGAGCATAAAAAGTAAAATAAGAAAAATGTAAAATAAAAAAATAATCTAAATTACAAATAACACAGCAATACCATTACATCATTAACTACAAAGGTTGAAACAGTAAGTAGCTTGACCAAAATGACAAATTACCCAAATAAAAAGCAACCAAACAGAGACCATCCTTAGGCAGAGAACATGTAAGTATGCATGATATACAAACTCTATATTTCTTTGAATAAAAAAAATTAGATTAGCCATTGAAACCCACACTATTAGATGATCACCTTCCAACAACTATTACCTAAACAAAACATGTCACAGAAATTAAATCAATAAGACTTAAAACACTAAAAGCAAAAATCAATATTAAGAGATAATGGGCGATAATGTGAAGGGAAATGTAATTCGAAATATTAAAGACTGGCCTAAAATTAGAGAAAAATAGTTAGAAATTATGAGATAATAAGCAATGAGATGAACGGTAATATAAGTTGGATATAAAAAATCAATCAAAAATAAAAAAAAGCAAGGAATGGAGATGAACAATATGCAAAATTGGAGTTAAAACAACTCAAAAGATTATGGAAGAGGAGAAAAATGATAAGAAAAAAAAAAGAGGCACTAGTGGGAGGAAAAAAAACTGAGTGAAAAAAGTGAGTGAAAAAGAGGGAGAAAGCACCTTATATGAAGAGGAAGACAGAAAAAAAAAGAAAGCCACATAGGCTCTACATGGTATAATCACACCAAAGTCAAAGGCAAAAGTTAAGAATTGCTATATTTATGTAGTGGATGTTTAATAATTAACACGTGTCCTAATGTTGATAACTTAGAAAGCTCATTCAATTGAAGATAAAATTTCTATCAACTTAACAATTTGTTGCTGATCACAAAAAAAAAAAAAAATTAAATGTCACTATCATTTTCATGATAATAAAAAAGTTACAATTTTTAAAACAATATCTAGTGCAAGTTAGTGCACTAATGTACCATAATGCATCATATATTGGAGTTACTATAGTGATCATCACAAAATTTGATAAACAAGTAGCATAACTTCAATATTTAAGTATAAAATAGTATAAAATTTTAAAAAGTATTCGTGATGTGCTAATTATAGTTCGAATAATATTAAAATAGTTGCTGATTGATTTTTGGATTAATTTATACTTTATTAAAGTTAATATTTAAATGTTATGAGTTTAAAAGAATTTATATGCGTAATATCCTTTTTAATGAAGTATAAATAAAAAAAGTTAAAAATATATTAAAATTTTAAAAAATAATAAAATAATTGGACATAAAACTCATTTATTTTAAAATTAATATTTGATATATTAAATATAAATTTTTATTTCACAAAAGATCTTAAAAAACCCACACATATCTCATTTTATTATTTATTATTTATTTATTTTTTAATATATGCTAGCAAATATTATCAACTTCTTAACCTGCTCACAAAATTTAAAAACTCCAATATTAATGAATTTTATAATTTCTTTTTCTTTTAATTTTACAATACAACTTAACCAAGTGCTGAGCCGGATTTTCTGACTCCGGTTCTCGATGAAAGTTTAAGACCCATCCCACAGATTTCTTCTTGTTTAAAAAAAAAAACACCAATTTTTGTTCTTGCCCATAAATAAAAAACCAGAACAATTTAAACCCAGACAGCCACACTGCCGATGCCCTGATTGTTCCCCCAATTCCTATCCTAATCCTATGGCTACAGTTGATAAATACAACGTCGAGTCTGCTGAAATTCTCGCCAACAGTGCCTTGGTTCGCTGTTTCCTTTTGGATTTACGTCTTTCTTTTGCGTTTTTTTCTTTGTTTTTCACTTTTACTTAACTTTTTTTCTTTGTTTTTCTTTGTTCTAGCATTTGCCAATTTCACAGGCCACGCCAATTTATGAGCAACTCTTGTCAATCTTTCCCACCGCTGTAAATTTCTTCTTCTTATTCTTTTTTTTTAAAATTTTTAATTTTAATTTCAAATTTAGTTTAAAGATTATATTGTTTTTATATAGTTATGGTGTGAAAATTTCAGGCAAAATATTGGAGGCAATATGTGGAGGCACAGATGGCAGTAAACAACGATGATGCTACCAAGCAAATATTTAGTCGCTGTTTGTTGAACTGTCTTCAAGTTCCTCTTTGGTAAATTCTTTCACTCGATTGCTTTCATGGATTCTTGAAAATAACGAAAAATTTAGGGTTTGTTTGGTTTTTCTTCTTTTCTTTTTGCCACTTGTTGCTTTCCGCGTTGTTGAAAAAATTTACCAAATAACTCAAATGTAGACACAAATTGAAACGTAATTGCTCCATACCGAAGTAAAATCATATCATGCCATTTGTTGTTCATAAAAATTTAGATTGTTAATTTTTTTATTATTTTGGAATATTATTTTTTTCTTCGAATGCAGAATTTTTATTCTACCACCAGAACGAAAAAGCAGGTGGTAAAAATTAACAACCGAATGTGTGGATTGATCTAAGATAGGAAGTTTTGGTAGCAAATGTTTTGATCCCTTTTGTTCATACAGACAGTTCCTTAAACCCTAAAGATAGAGAGGAATAGCCTTATTAAAGGCTATTCCGAAATTTATCTTTTTATAGGGTTGATTGCGTGCTACAAAGTGGTTGAAAGGTTAAACTGCTTTTTTCCTACCTTATGTTTGTGAATCTTATTTTTAAATGGTATTAGGAAGACTATTTTACTTTTGGGAATATAAAAGAATTTTGGACCCTAAACATTGGAAAGAAAACTAATGGAAGATTAGTATTTGTTGCTCTTTTGCTTGGGATGTAATTGATGAGCATGATTATTCCATTTTTTGTTAGTTTGTCTTTGTGACATTATTATAAGCAAACAGTTACTTTCTTAGGCTGTGGCTTCCCTCTCTCTCTCTCTCTCTCTCATTGTTTTGACCTCAATGTGGAAATCTTGAATCACAATTAGCAAAATTAATGGATACTTCATTTTCATCTATGCCTTTCTGAATGGATGAGAGTTTACTTGTTTATATCTCAGAGGATGTCTCTATTTAATTCAAATAAAAACATAATTTTAATTAGTAATTTGTGGTGTGTTTTGATATTAATGTGCCTTTTTTGGTTTTTGGTGCTGTGGAGTTATTTGGATAGAAAGAATGTTAACTTTATTTGATAACTTACGTCATGGTGTTTCTATTGGTTTTATAGGCGCTGTTATATTCGATTCATCAGGAAGGTCAATGACAAGAAAGGTGTAGAGGGTCAGGAAGAGACTAGAAAGGCATTTGATTTTATGCTTAGCTATGTTGGTTTGTTTTCTCTTAAACCTTAAGACTTTTTAATCTTTCGCAATACTTATAGCTTATCTTCTTAGTTTAGAAATTTTAGTAGTAAAAATGGAGTGTGTATGTGTGTATATATATATATATATATATATATATATATGTTACATATAAAATGCATATCACAATGTTTGAATGGGCAAACTCAAGGATTATAGGATTGCTTTCAAGATATCTTTAGCCAATGACAGATCTTGACTTTTAACTTTGAGGGGGTCAAAGTAATATATTACAATAATAAATTTTTTTTTAATTTTTTTCTGAAAATATATCAAATCTATTAATGACAGGAAAAAAGATTTTTTAGATGCAATATACAACAACCAAAAAGCCTTATATTCCATAACTCTAGGTTTGGCTGTATAAAAGGCCAAAAAGAAAATCATTTTAAGTCATAATTTTGAATTTTTTTAAGCTACGCAACATATAATAACAAAACTTACAAGTATAAGTATGCTAACATATATATATATAAATATATAAACAAAATGAACGTATTAAGTAATTGATCTTATGATTTCTATTTATCACTAGTAACATTCTTTATAGAAATAAAATCATTTTATCTTTTGACAATATTAACATATTATGTTATCATATTTAATTAAAGTAAAAAAGATATTCATGAAAGGTTATATTTTTTAAATAATAAAAAATAAATTTTAGAACAATAGAGTAGATACTATGATGCGTTAAGTTTAAACCTTGTAATTTTTTACATTGTATTTTTAAATTATGAAAAATGAAAAGGTACTTAAGCTATTGGTATTAAATATTTTGGCATCTAACAATTTTCAAAGAAAAGGAGCATGTATGATATACCAGGACAAAGGTTATGTTGAAAAAAAAAAACGATCCAAAAACTTGGGTATTTGTCACTTTGATTTTAGTTGTTATAATACTCGTATATCTTAAATCTACATGTTTGTGAAAATATAGTGATGGCAAACCTATACATTTTAAACTAAAATCATTTATGATGAGTAAACCAAGTTAAAGAGTTTTAATTTTAATAACATTTAGGTACAAATAATTTTTGTTACCATATATCCTATAGACAAGAGTCATCACAAATAAAGAATAATGAATTTGAACACAATAAATTTAGGTTCCAGGGGGCCAACTAATTTATTTATAAAAAAATTTCAAAAACATTGAGAAAATAATATATGTATAAAAAAATTTCAAAATTTTTTTGGAGCCTCCAATGAAGATTTTCCTTTTCTTTAGGTAATCTTAGCAAGACAGCTACATTGCATGGTAGGTTTTCACAGTTATTATTTCGTGATTGATTCATATAAATATGATTACTTGAATAAACTTAGTAGGAATTATATTTAATGATAGATAAAGGACTAAAAAAATTTTGTTTGTTTTAAGAGAGACTTTGACTTGAAAAGACTCTTCTAAAAGACTTAATGCTCCTCTCACTCCTTGTTAACATTTTTAAATAATTTTATACCATGTAAATTGATGTTGAAAAATATCCTTGGAATATTTAGTGCGGTTGATTATAATGAAACGGTGAAAGAAAGTTATTGCATCCATTTTAACTATATTTCAATAATCTATTTCAAAAAAGGAATGAATGATATTTCAATAATGTAGGATATAAATCATATATTATATAGCAGCGTATGTTTGATATCAATTATGTCTGATTGTAAATGAGTTGCATTTGATTCAATGACACGTTAATGATAACAATGATTAACAGTTTTTTAACATAAATTTAGATTGTTCTCATATTTGTTAACATTTTTATTTCTTTTATTGCTCCTTGCGTTGTGATAATCTTTAGTGTCTCATCCTTGTTCTTTGACATGGGGTCTCTCATCTATAATTCCTTTTTTTTAACACCTAAAAATAAGCAATAGGTGTTGTGCAGGCCTTAGATTTTAAGTGATCCTTGAATTGCAATGGATCAAGTAGAAAAACACTTTTAGTCAACAAATATTTTTCGTATATCATTTTGAATAATAATGAAAAGCACTTCAGTCTACAAAGAAGAAGTGATTTTAGCATTCTGGGATATAATTGGGTTAAAATTTAGGAAGTGTATGGCAAAAGATTTGAGTTTTAACATTATTGAGTTGCTAAACTTGAATCTCTATGCATAGGAAAAAGAAAAAATAATAGGAAAGTATGAAGCACAAGGACAAAACAGAACTTGGAACTCTAAATTGGCACATTAAGGCTATATTTGGATTGAAGGAAGGTGAAGGAAATGAAGGAAAAGGGAAGGAAAGCGAGGGAAATAAGAAAACCTTTCCTTTGTTTGGTTTATCATTTACATTTTAATAAACGAAAGGAAAGGAAATTTGAGCATCGCGCCCTTTCCCTTAAAAGCTCCAATTTTTAATTACCCCAAAATTGGGGGAAAAGGGAAGGAAAGGAAAAGAGTAAAATTTGTTAAATATAAAATGACTTTTATGTCGTTATTATATCTATCATTTTTCAAGAATATTATTATAATATTCAAGTTTAAACATTATGTTAGCGACTGATGCTACTTTTAAATTTTTTGCAACTAATTTCTCAACAATTTTTTTGTCAATAACTTCGAATTCTATATGTTTTTAATCTATGTTTACGTCTTAATTTTTTTTTCATTTTGTTGTTACTTTACAAATTCTAAATAATAAAAATAAAAAAAATGACAAAACATGTACAATGATAGGAAAATGCTAATTCTTAAATAAATTTATGGTTAGTTTTATCTTAATAATAAATATTTAAGTTTTTAATTTTCTCATTTCTAGATTAATTTTGAAAAAGATATTTTAGTATAAAAATAATTTTAAACATACATTTTTTATGAATTAATTATTAATAGCATTTTCTTTTATTGAAATTATTTTTATTCATTTTCAAAAATTTTTAAAATAGTTAATATCAAGATTATTTACATGATAGAAAAATATTTTATTTTAAAGGGTATAATTGGAGTAATATAATATAATATAATATCTCGTTTCCTTTTCTTTTCACAATTTAACTAAACAAAAGTTATGATCAATCATTTCCTTTCGTTTACTCATTTTAGTTATCCAAACAAGGGAATGAACTATCACTTCCTTTCCTTTAAAAGCCTTTTTTTTTTCCTTTCTTTTACTTTCCATTCCTTTCCTTTACTAAGTTCAATCCAAACATAGGCTAAAGGTATATACATATGTATGTACACCTACAAGGTCCTGAATCATGAAAGCAAAAGAATTTACTAATGTTATCTCTTTAAACTGATGAAAATACTATATAAAGACTTTGGAAACATGGACAAGGATGTAGAATATCACATGGGCATGGTGAAAGTGTGATTCCCAAAGAATTATGGTGAGGAAAGAGTCATAATTAATACACATGCATAATTTCTTGTTTATTATGGAAGTTTGAACCTTTTAAACTAAAATTTTGAACAATATATAAAAATCCTTGACAAAAGTGTTTGTTTCCATAAATGATTAAAAAAAATAATCTCCTTCTATTTTGTAAATGGTTGATAGTCTTCAAATTTGGACTTGAAAAATATCAAACCTTTCCAGCAAAAGCCCACTTGATGAGTTCTCGATTCTAGTAGTCCCATTTAAATTCATTTTTACTTTTATCCTCAGGAACATAGCAATGTGGTACCAACTGTTTCAGAGATTCTAACAACACCTCAACCACTTCACAACATCTTCCATCTCTTCCATTTATCTCCCTTTTCACTTGTAATTTGAGTCTGTTCTGCATGGATCAGAGCAACTTGAGGTTAAATCAAACAAGCATTGAGCTGGCATTTACAGTGATAATGACTCTTTCTTCTCTAGTATCTAACTTTCTTCTCTTGTATCTAACAGTTTGTGGTAAATGATAGCAATATTTTTGTCTCTTTATTTTCTGTATTCACCTTGTCTCTCTCTCTCTCTCTTAAATCCCATGTCTGAATTAATGAAATAATTTTCATTTTTTTGTTGTATTTGGTGGTATTCAAGTTTTTCTGATTGTGTTGGAAGCTGATCCATTTGTGTCAGATTCTTATCAATATCTGTTGTGGATAGAAATTGGATATGCGAAGGGTAGCGCTGGACTGCTTAATGGTTAAAAATGCCATTGACTAGTGTCTAGCTTGGCATTGTGGTAGGATTTGAAAAATGTGGTTAGAAAACTATGTTTGCTTAAACACTAGTTTGGATTTAAAATGGATCCATTTGACGATAAATTTGTAAGCCAAAACAAGCTTTTGGGAGTCAAACATGAGGGAAAACTTAACCTAAAACAAACAACCAAACTCAACAAATTTTGAATTATCTTGACCACTCCTGACTCAAGAAACTTTAAGGGTGTGTTTGATAAACCATTGAAAAATTTCAAACCATTGAAAATTAAAATTTTCCATGGTTTTTTTCAATGCGTTTGATAAATCTTTTATAGAAACCACTTAATGAAAAATTGTCAATGAAAAAGTGTTGAAAATGCTAAATAGCTTTTAGCTACTTAATGTATTAAGTCAATTTTGTTTAAGGAAAAAATGTTATTTAATTGCATTAATCTTATATTCTTTTCTTTTAACTATTTGTTCTTTCCTTTTTAACTTTTACCAACTGAAAATAACTATAAAAGCATACCTCTCTTTTATAAAAAAAATAAATAAAAAATCCACTAAATATTTAATTTTCAATAGCTTATCAAACAACGTTTATATAAAAAATTTCTGCACTCAAAAATTTCAGAACTAAAAATTCAATACTAAATTTTTCAGTAATTAATTTGTTCAGTTTATCAAACAACAAATATGTTAAAATTAATTCATCAGAATGGAAGATGGAGTAAGATTTAACTCTCAATTCAACTTATACCAATTAGATCAGCTCCCATGCAACTGGAATCATCATGCCAAAATCAAACCCTGGTGTCTAAAACTAGCTTCTAGATGGTGTACTTATGCCTGATGGCCAACAGTGAGAAAATAGTGTTGTCTCTCATAGAGACTTATGTTTAGATGTTTGCACTTTTTGCTGAAGTCCAAGTAGAATCTAAAGAGGCTGATTCTATGCAAGTTTTACCATCTGGCCCAACATATGGATAGTGTTTGGTCATCAAGTACATGTTCAATTTCTCATATTAAGTCAAGTGCTATACTAAAAATCCTGTGTTAATCTGAGCAATATATCAAATGATTAAAATCAGATTCTATAGTTATTTCTTGATTGTTTGAAATTTAATGGAAGGCAATTAAATTTCATGCATACTATTTGCTCCATATAGCTAAAACCTTTATGTTTAAACTATCAGAATGGATTAATCTAGTTAATCAAACATTTTAACATGCATTTCCACAAATATGTTTCTGGTAATAGGGATTCTGTTTTCTGATGCTTATGTTATCAGGAGCGGACATAGCATCTGGGCCTGTATGGATGGAGTATATTGCATTTTTAAAGTCACTGCCGGTTGGTGAAGTTCTTTGCCAGATTTTCCATTACCACAAATTGCTATTCACCTTTTTATGTCTGTGTATGTTATTATTTTCCCTAAAAAGAGATGGTTTTCCAGGCTGCAAGCACTCAGGAAGAGTCACAGCGAATGACTTCTGTGCGGAAAGCTTACCAGAAAGCTATTGTTACTCCGACCCATCACATTGAACAGCTATGGAAGGATTATGAGAATTTTGAAAATTCTGTTAGCCGCCAGCTGGTAAAGTTTTGCATGATGGTGAACTTTTTTGTATTTTGGTTGCATATTTGCTAGTTTGGTTCTGGTGCATGCATTCCATGTAAATTTATAGGAATGCTGTACTTATTATCTTATTGAGCAGGCCAAAGGACTTCTGTCTGAATATCAACCAAAATATAACAGTGCAAGGGCTGTATATAGGGAACGGAAGAAATACGTGGATGAAATTGATTGGAATATGCTTGCTGTACCTCCAACTGACTCTTGCAAGGTAATTTCCTGCGAGTTTTCTATCTTTTTTCGGTTTTCAATTTTTTATTGTCTCATTGAAGTTCATTTTTTTGTACATACACATATATTTGGCATGTTTATTTTAGGGTAGTCCTTAGTGTTATAGAACTGCTGTGAAGCAAGTGTTTCTGATGCCAACATCAAGAATTGCAAAAGATAGAGAAAGATGAGAGAATTATGGCTTGTAAAGCGATAACATATTGGATTAAGATTAAGAAAACCAGGATTTCTTGGAAATTTGCTGTTTAAGTTTAATTTTTATTGTTACTCTGTGTGATTTAGGTTAGAGTTTGCAAGAACTCTGGTAATAAGAAGTTTACTATTGAGTGGAAAGTTTAATCCAACATAAGTCTCTAAGTCTCTCTTATATGAAACATAAAAGGTGACAAATGAAAAAAAAAATAGTAAATTCTAGAGTTCTTGAGTAGAAATTAAAGGTGGTTGCTGATCTATATTTATGTTTTTGAAGTACTGAAATTAAAGAAAGGACAGAAGAAAAATGATAATTCTAGGCTTAAGAGCTAAAGTTCCTTGAATACCTGGAGTTGATTGCTTCATGTAGTCTTTAGCTTAACTTATTACATAGTCTCTGAATTTGTAGACTCCAAGTCTGATAATGGACTCTATGTAAAGAATAAAATGATTTACTGTCAGACAAATCTTGCAACAAATTAAGTCCAGATAACATTAAACTTTTTAAAAGTAAGCCTTTAGCACTAGTGCTCTATTGTCCAGCTAATATTAAACAGACTTCTCAAATTGAACTAAAGCTCAGTAAAAATGAGATCTTTGACTTGCCACCAACTAAGATAAAATTAGTACTTCAGTTCAATTAGTAGAAAGTATGCAATTTCCAAAAAGTTTCTCATCAGTGGACAACTGTAAAATTAAGGCTTGAGCATTTTAGCTCGCCTTTGCACCTGTTTTTAATATTTTTGAAGGCAGTTGCTGGCATGAAAGCATACATATAACGACTGAAGCTGTTGTTCACATGGTTAGACACAAAAGTGCTAAAACAGGCATTTAAAAGTTCTAAATTATGATGCAAAAGTGAAAGTTTGCAAGGTTACAAAATCTTCTTATATTGAATATCCTAGTAGTCTGTTTTCATTGAAAACATTAGGCTCTGTTTGGTTTGAGAAAATATCTTTTGTTTTTATTTTTTATTTTCATATTTTGGAAAATTGTTTTTGTTTTTTAGAAAATATTGTTGGTGAATGGAAGCAAAAGTTGTTTTATAAAAATGAAAAATAATAAAATATGTTTGATACAATATACATTTAAAAAAAGAATGATTAAAGAAATAAATAAAATATTCAATGATATTAGAATAATTAAACAAGCATAGTTAATATCAATGGCTTTTAATCATAAATATATAATATATTTATTAATTTATAGCTTCAAAAAGTGTTTAAATATAGGTCAACTTATTAACTTGCTAAACACAAACAAAAAGTGATGGATATCTCTTGTTTTCATAATTGAAAACAACCTTTTTGTTTTATTTTCACATTTGAACCAATTTTTATTTTTGTTTTCTAAAAACTTGTTTTCATTTTCAATAACCAATCATGTTTTCACTATTGTTTTTCTTTTTTCAAGAAAATGAAAACAGAAAATGCCTCTGTTTTCTAAAATCAAACAGTACCTTATATTCTTAGTTGTTGCATTTTCTAATATTTTGTTGTGATCTTATAGGAAGAAATGCAATGGATGGCATGGAAGAGGCTTTTAGCCTTTGAGAAGTAAGACATAGAGCATTCCTTCCACCCCCTTCACCCTTTATATGATTGAATTTCAGCTGTTGTAAAGATATATTGACTTGTGCATTACTGCTTTAGATATTTACCACTTTATGATTTATTAAATGAGATATGGGATGTTATTTTAATTCTTGTTTTTGGAGATTGACATTATTTAGTTCTAGTGAGCATAAATATCATTTAAACTGGAAATATGTTGAGCAATTACATGGACTGCCATCAATTTCATGTTTAGAAGGTGGAACACCTATAAGAAGAAAGCTAATATTTTGCTGACTGCTTCTATATTTGTATCATTGCTGTATTTATGAATTGTTATATTCTAGATGTTTGCAACATTAGTTTCCCATATCCTTTGATGTCTTTGTTATAAAATAAATATAGAGGGCAAATTTAGAATCAGATCATAAATATATAAATAACAGAAGGCTTATGGTTTTGTGGGATGAAAGTGCATCTGTTCCTACACTAGAATATTAATATATGCATTCTTAACCTCTTTAATTCAACTGTATTTCAGAGGAAATCCTCAAAGGATAGACAGTGCCTCCTCCAATAAGCGAATTATATTTACTTATGAACAGGTAGCTAAATATTTAATACTTCATTTAATGATTGATATACTTTCTTCTTTCTGCTATGACTTGGGTAGTACTCATTTGCATGTACTTGTGTCTAAACCATCTTTTTCTGGATAGCATCTTCTGCATTAATGTGTTTAAGCCTTATTTGGGAAATCTGTGGAGTTAAACTCTCACTTATCTCCTAGAATCCATTTACTGGTGCTTGTGGTACTTCATTTTTGCTAATTGGTTTTTGCTTTCAAGAAACCTTCTAGAAAGCGAAAGCAACTAGTAAAGAGCAAAATCATGTCCGGTCAAAAACAAAAATGGCTAAAATATTATACCAATTTAAGTATGACTGTTTCATGTAGAACTAAAAATGCGCCTCACCTTAAGAGGTGTGAGGTGCTTTTCTTGAATAGCATTATGCCTTAGTGTCTAGGCACATGCCTTCACTACACTAGATGGTATCTTAAAAGAGTGGGTCATCAACCAACCAAGAGAGTGGTAATTGGGGGTATTTATATTCTTTATCATTTTCTTATGAAGTCTTCCTGATTTATTGTATGCTGAAAGCCGACAAAGCATTATTCTTGACAAATACATAAATATTTGTTGTCATTTCATGGTTTGCTCCGTTGAGATACTATTGCTGAAAAACTTCTTTTTAAAAGAAATTCTGACATTGTAATGACTAAGGGATGCCAATTTCATGTATGAATAGGTAGAGAGGTGGAAATATTCTCAAATGTTAATAATCTTTAATCTATATAGTAATAATAAGTTTCCTTTCTTAATTTTGTTAGCATTTTCTTTCAAAAAGAAAAAAAATGTTAACACTTATATCCACTAGGGGACCATTGAGTTTGGCTAGTTTGTTCGTAGTGATTATCCCTAGATGCATGGATTTATTAGTACTTTTTTGTCTATATTCTTTTTCTTGCTATATGTTTTGCTTTTCCTCATCCTTTGTGTTTATTAACATACCGTTGGTTGTTGTATTCTCATGTATCCAGTGTCTAATGTATTTATACCATTATCCTGATATATGGTATGACTATGCTTCATGGCATGCAAAAACTGGCTCCATGGATGCTGCAATCAAGGTATTTCAGCGAGCACTGAAGGCTCTTCCTGGTAATTGGTTCTTCTTTGCTCTTTAACTGGAAACTTGTTCAGAATATTCTGGTAACTTATTCTCATCTTGCGATTTTTCTCCTGTGTATCTAGCCTTGTCTGAAGTACTCCTCATGCCCCTTTCTTCTGTCACCTTTTGTAACTTTCCATCTACTTTCTGGTTACTCTATTATCAGATTCAGAAATGCTAAAGTATGCATATGCAGAGCTAGAAGAATCTCGTGGAGCAATCCAAGTATGAAAACTGTTAAATATTTCCACTTAAAGTTGTTGAACCATTGGCTCTTTGCCTTTGATTTGCTTCCCTATTGATGCAGTCTGCAAAGAAATTATATGAAAGCCTTTTGGGGGATGGTGCTGAAACTACAGCACTAGCACATATACAAGTAAGGAAGTTATAGGTTTATATATTGCTTTTATCAATATGCTAATGCTAGGAATAGTATTTTAGGTACAGTGCGAAGAGGTAAATAGACAGTGCTTAAATTGCCTCTTTGTGATTAAACATGCACATGGTCTTTTACATGGTTAAAACTAGGGGACTGATCCTTTTTGCTAGCAAACTTTTGAGGACTATGAACATGGGTTATGTCTCTAAACTAAGGTTAAATTTTTCCAAATTTTGTCTGAAGTGTCTGTAACCGACCAATAAGAAGTGAGTTCTGAAAATATGTTACTCGTCACTCTAAATTTTTCTTGTTTAATGACTGATTTCATATGTTTTCTTGCTGCAGTTTATCCGCTTTCTAAGAAGGAATGAAGGTGTTGAAGCAGCCCGCAAGTATTTCCTAGATGCTCGCAAATCACCTAGTTGCCCATACCATGTTTATGTTGCATATGCATTGATGGCCTTTTGTCTTGACAAGGACCCAAAGGTGCTATTTCTTTCATTTTCTCAAAAATATCTCTAACTTCACTTTTAATGTTACAGCCTATTCTAGTAAGAGCGAATGGGATAAAGGAACACTGTTACTTAAGATGATCATTATCCATTCATTTTTCCTGTACCTTATGTCTCTCATCTCCTTCCACAACCATAATTTGTGGTGGTTTAATGTTAGTAACAATGATTCAACACAGAATTGACTATTGCCAATTAAAAAATGCTTAATAATTTATTCATGAAAAATACCCTCGGAATAACTTTTCTTGTTACTATTCCTCATGCAGGTTGCTCACAATGTTTTTGAAGCCGGATTGAAACATTTTATGCATGAGCCTGTATACATCCTAGAGTATGTTTATTGTTCTGTTATTTATATTCGTACAATAGTGCTTGGATATTTATCTAGGAATTTGTTTCTCTGTGATGTTTTCTTGAAAATTTCTGTCGTTACTTAGTAATAAGCATCCTGTATGTTAGGTTTTAGACTTGATAGTAAAAGTTCAAGATTTCATGGAAGTAAATTTTAAGCTGAGTCAAGTATTAACTTCTTTCCTTTTGTCATGTTTACCCTTGTTGCTTCAACAGCAAACCATACAAGAATTTTACTTTCAATGTAGATCATTTCAAATTCATGTTTGTCTAATTACTGCTTAGTTTCTTTTCGTTGGGGTTGATTGGAGGGAACTTGACATGTTCATTTTTGTTTTTGTTTTTTTCTTTTTTTGAAAAACTTAGATAAGTATTTCTGTAGTTGGTCATTTAATCTTATGAAGATGTGGCAATACAATGTAAATCATCTAAGTCAGAAGAGTAAAATACATGAGCCTGTTGTTTAGAATTCTCAATTTAAGTTTTTAGTCCTACAGAGCGATTGAAACCAAGTTTTTGGTTTTCAAAGAGAAGATTGTTGAGAGGAACAAGAGATAAAAGAGCATATGCGAGTTCCCCTGCATGTGGCTCAAATGGTGAAGGTGCAGTTCAATTATAAATTCTTTTCTCTAGTTTGCAGTTATGACTTTTAAAATTAAATATATTGGTTTTCTGAAAAAGAATGTTATGTCGTGCATCACCAATTTTTCTGCATTCCACTTTACATTAATGCAATTTGTAGGTGGTACTGATTAGTGTGCCTTGGTTTGAGGTGTTGTGAACATTTGTGCCCCAATTGTTCTTTGGATGTCATTAACACTTGTTCTTAAGTGTGCTAAATGCCTTATTTTTGGATAAGGAATTAATCTGCTATATGATTGTTTTCTTTGCAATTAATGTCGTACAATATGGATAAAGACAGTGTTATAATCTGATATATGCAGATATGCAGATTTTTTGTCATGTTTGAATGATGACAGAAACATCCGGGCATTATTTGAGCGAGCATTAAGCTCACTACCACAAGAAGAATCTATTGAGGTACTATATTTAACTTAATATTGTATGTAAAACTGATAACTTAAAATTTTCCTCCTAAATAGAAATTAAGGTGGAACCACACTGGAAAATGATTAAAATATTTACTTCTATTTTTCTTTTTCTTTTCTTTTAATAATTTGGAGCATACAAGTAGCAGGGACTGCAATTTTCTTCGATAAGTTGAATTAAGTTTGTATATAGTACTAGAAGGATTACAGAAGCATAAAGTTTGCTAAATAGTTTGCTTAAAGTTGAATTTGTAAGTCAATAGGTTGTCAAATACCACACTCAGTAATGATAGGTATATGGTTATCTGATTTAATCCCAGGATGACAACTTTTGATGTTGTTTTCTTCAGTGACACAATGAGGGATAAGGTTTATAAGGGATTTTCTAAGGTTTTAAGGACTAATATTGGGTTGTAATTCTCTATGGATGCTTTTTTGATGAAATGGGTTTACATTTGAGTGCATGAAAATTGAGAAGTAAGATGTCTAAATATGGCCAGCAGCTGAAGGAGGGTTGTAGTTGTTTATCAGGCTAATTGATTGCCAATTGTCGTGGGGTTGACTGTGGGCTAATTAGGCAAATCACAACAGAACAAGTAATGGTTTAATGTGCAGTGAGATTAATCCTAACTTTCCAAGAATGCTTACAATCATGGCCATCCTCTGCCCTTGTCATATAATCTAGGAACTAAAGTTTTACTGTGAAATGAAGGATTCATTGTTCTAAACTTGCAAGCTCAATCTGGATTATAAAAATATTTCATGCTTCAAGCTGCATGCTACAAAGCATTGGGATCGTTTAAATTGAAGTTTGGTATGCACTTTTACTACCAATGATATCTTGGTTGGGAGCATGATCCTTAATGTTGATACGGATGAAAACTCCATATCTACAGAGCATGCGAACCTAACTATTAAAAAAATAAAAAAGAAAATCAGAAAAAAGAGGGCAACATATCTTCACATCTATAAAGATGTTCAAAAGCTTTATAACTAGAACAGCTGGTTGCATACAGGATATATTCTTAAGGGTTAGTGATAGAATTCTGATGGTAACTTAGCTAGCTTGGATATAGAGACATGGTGAAGCTACTTTATAAATGATATTTATGATCCGATAGTAAGACTTCCATACACAACTATGATTGAGTTTTCTTATGCTTCCAAGAAGCAGAAAAAATTAGTGAAGGAAAATATAATACATAAAAATATGTACGTGCAATATTCTTGAAAGCAAAGTTCTCAAAATAAAATTGACCAAAATCTGCTTTTATCTATCAGTGTAAAGTGTTGGTGAATAGGAGGAAGTATCTTTGAAATCATAATAATCACAACATCTATTAAAGAGGTCCAATCTATTTGATTGATGAGAAACAGCATTGTACCTCTCTTTGGTTGAAGGATTACCTCCCTAACATTGTAAATATCTTTGCACCATTACTCATCAAAACCTTTGGTCCTCATTTGCTCTTGCATGTTATATTTAGTTTTTTTTCTGCTTTTTATCTTTAGAAACTAGAAACTATCAGCAAGATGCTCTCTTGTTTATTATCTACTGTTATTATGTGCTTTTAATGAGAGAGCATCTGCTTTCATTCAATTTGAGGGAAATACCTACACAGCCTTTATTTTAACATTTCCTTTGATATTAGGGTATAGGTTCTGTTAAGTGGTGTTGATTTTGGGGTTTTGTTGTCTCCATAAATTCTGGTTGGGCCTCTTCATTGCCTTCTTGTTCACTCAGTCATCAGTTTCTTTTATGTCCCCACGTTCAGTATGCGTGTACAATTAAAGATTCTATTCCTTCTATCCTTATAAGTACTTGCTTTGCTATCTTGGTTTCTATGCCACATAACTATCCTTAGTAGATTTTTTGAATAAAAGCTCCTTTAATTGCAAGTGAAACCAATAGTAATGGTTATTTTAATATATGTAAATATCTACAGCTAACACTTAGGACGAATGCAAGAATAGGTCATTGTTCTAATTTATTCCAAATTTTCTGTAAGTCACTGCAAATAGCCCTTGTTCAAAATATTAATCAAATTTGAGCCTGAACACGGAAATGGAAAGAGATATTAGCTTTCCCAATTGTGAGAGAAAGCATCCACATTGCACTGAAGGCCATGAGTAATTTACTCCTCGATTTAACTGTTTCCCACTTTAAAGAGAAATGTAACAACTTACTGATGACATAACCAGCAGAAGGTGATATCATCCTGATTAGTTATCTTCTTATTCACATTGTTGACACCTTTAAAAGCTTGTGATACTAGAGCTGAGAAATAGCTGTTAGTTGGAAAGGCTATGTTTTCTTATTTTCAATAAGTTTATCTTTTGAAATGACTAGTTTGTATATTAAATGATGGATTTTGCTTATTGTTTGTTAAGAATGTATTAAATGTATGTGACACTGCCCTCTTTTGCAGGTCTGGAAACGGTTCACCCAATTTGAGAAAACATATGGTGATCTAACTAGCATGTTGAAGGTAGCAATTTTCTATTGGATCATACTTATTACTGTGGAAACTGAATGTATATTGAAAAACTGCTTATTTGAATTATACAAGAATCTTAGGTTTATATACAACTAACTAGGGGTTAAACTAGGAAACTAAATCTTCCTTAATTCTAGGGATACAAATACTTAATTCTAGAGATACAAATATAAATATACAGATTACAATATTACAACCAGCTGTAAATAAGTGTTTTCCCACACTCCCCCTCAAGCTGGTGAATAGGTGTTTTCCATTCCCAGCTTGGAAATAATTCCTTGAAATGTTGCACTACTGAGACCTTTAGTCAACACATCTGCAAGTTGACCCTTGGTTGATACATAAGGTGTACAAATCAACCCACTGTCTAGTTTCTCCTTTATGAAATGCCGGTCTACTTCAATGTGTTTTGTTCTGTCATGTTGTACAGGATTGTGTGCAATGCTTATTGCAGACTTGTTATCACAGTAGAGTCTCATTGGTCCATCCCACTTGATCTTCAAGTCTTCTAAGATAATCTTTAACCATAGTAGTTCACAAATTCCTTGAGCCATTGCTCTGAACTCTGCTTCAGCACTTGATCTTGCCACCACATTCTGTTTTTTACTCCTCCAAGTCACAAGATTACCACCTAAGAAAGTACAGTAGCCTGAGGTAGATCTTCTATCAGTTACTGAACCTGCATAATCAGCATCTGTATATGCTTCTAGAACTAACCCCGAATTTCTTTTGAATAAGATACCTCTCCTAGGATTGGCCTTCAAATAGTGCAATATACGGTAGACAGCCTGTAGGTGCACTTCTTTAGGACTATGCATAAATTGACTTACCGCACTCACAACATATGCTATATCAGGTCTAGTATGTGAGAGATAAATGAGTCTTCCAACTAATCTTTGGTACATCTCTCTATTTACAGCAGCATCTTCATTAGCTTCTCCAATTTTATGATTAGGATCTATAGGGGTATTTGCAGGTTTACATGCAAGCTTCCCAGTTTCCTTCAGAAGATCCATCACATATTTCTGTTGTGAGATAAAAATACCATGCCGTGAGTGAGCTACTTCAATTCCTAGGAAGTACTTCAATCTCCCTAGCTCTTTTATCTCAAATTCTCTAGCCAAACACTGTTTTAGAGATTCTCTCTTTTTCATTATCTCCAGTTACAGTTATATCATCAACATACACTAATAGAACTGTGACTCTCCCTGAATCAGAGTGCTTGATAAACAATGTGTGATCTCCTTGACTCTGTTTATATCCCATTGCTAGCATCACTTTGGCAAATCTCCTGAACCAAGCTCTAGGAGACTGTTTAAGGCCATATAAAGCCTTTTTTAGCCTGCATACTTTGTTTGCTTCTAGATGACCTCCAAATCCCGGTGGAACCTTCATATATATTTCTTCTTCCAAATCACCATGTAGAAAAGCATTCTTTACATCAAATTGTTGAAGCTGCCAATTGTAATTTGCAGTCAATGATAACAAAATCCTAACTGTATTCATCTTGGCAACTGGAGCAAAGGTTTCCTGATAATCCACTCCATAGGTTTGAGTGTAGCCCTTAGCCACTAACCTGGCTTTATACCTTTCAACAGTACCATCTGCCTTGTATTTTACAGTGAAAACCCATTTACACCCCACTGAATTTTTTCCTTTAGGCAACTCTACCAGTTCCCATGACTGATTTTTCTCTAAGGCCTCCATTTCTATTTTCATGGCTTGCCTCCATTTCTCATTGGATAATGCCTCGGATAATGTAGTTGGAACAGAAATAGTGTTTAGGCTCACAAGAAAATTTTTGTGGGATGGTGAGAATTTTTCAAATGACACAAAATTAGATATTGGGTATAGTGGATGTTTGGTACATTCTCTGGTTCCTTTCCTAATGGCAATAGGCAAATCATAATCACTAGTTATAGTTTTAGGAGATTCATGCTCATTTTGAGAAACAGAGTCAAAAACTGTAGTTACCTCATTTCCAGAGTTAGGATCAGGTTCTTGGACTGGCCCTGGTTCAGGATCTGGAACTTTCCTTCTTGAGTACACCTGTAATTCCTTCATAGAATCAAGAACAATATCATCCTTTGTCACATCTTCTGTATTTGGAATTGGTTCAGACTCAAATTCAGTGTTTGACTTGGGCTTAGTAGAAACAGGTTTCGACTCAGAAGAATTAATTGGTGTAAATGTTGAAGAAGGGGGCAAATCAAGCAAAAAGAAGTCTTTATCCTTATCTTCCATGAATGAAGTCTTCCCCTGAAGATAAGGTTGAGTAAAAAATGGTTTATTTTCTTCAAAAGTGACATCTGCAGACACATAGAATTTTTTGGTAAGAGGATGATAGCACTTATATCCTTTTTGAGTTGAAGAATACCCCACAAAAATACACTTAATCGCTCTTAGATCCAACTTTCCCTTGTTATGACTGTGAACATGAACAAATGATGTACAGCCAAATATCCTAGGTGTGAGATTGTTTGTGGTATTGAGGTTGGGATAAAATTGTGAGAGTAGTTCCATAGGAGTTTTAAATCCCAAAACTCTTGAAGGTAACCTATTTATAATGTGTGTGGCAGTGAGAACAGCTTCCCCCCAATAAGATTTAGGTACATTTGCTTGAAAAAGAAAGGCTCGGGTTGTGGCTAGTAAATGACTATTTTTCCTCTCTGCCACTCCATTCTGCTGTGGAGTATTAACACAAGATGACTCATGGATAATCCCCTTTTTTTGAAAATAGGTGGATAGACTCTGGTTGAAGTAGTCTCTTGCATTATCAGACCTAAATCTCTTGATTCTCACTCCAAATTGATTTTGGATCATGTTTTGGAAGCTTAAAAATACACTATTCACATCTGATTTGGATTTAAGTAAAAAAACCCAAGAGACCCTAGTACAATCATCTATGAATGAAACAAACCATCTCGCACCAGAAATATTAGGAATTGTAGAGGGACCCCAAATGTCACTATGAATCAAGTAAAAGGGAGTAGAACTTCTTTTGTTACTGATTGGAAAAGACACACGTCTATGTTTTGCAAATTCACAAATATCACAATGAAAATCTTCAACATTTAATCCTTTGAACAAAGAAGGAAACATGTTTCTCAAGGTTCCAAAAGAAGGATGTCCAAGACGAAAATGATAAAGCCAAATTTTGTCTTTATTGGAAGATTTTTCTGAAAGAAATGACAAAGGTAAACTATTTTTGATACTACTTGTGTTATTTGATGTCTCAAGATAGTATAGTCCATCCTTCTCCTTAGCAAGTCCAATCATTTTTCCCGAACTCTGGTCCTGAAATTCACAATAAGAGGGATAAAAAGTTACTTTGCAATTTATATCTCTGGTAAGTTTTTGTATAGATATCAGATTAATAGACAATCCAGGAACATGAAGAACATTTTTGAGAACAAACGAGGGATTAACTTGAACATCTCCTAATCCTGCCACTGTGGTAAGTGAACCATCAGCAACAACAATTTTCTTATTACTAGGACACAGGTTATATGTACTAAACTTTTGTGAGGAATGTGTCATGTGGTCTGTGGCTCCTGAGTCAATGACCCAAGAACTCGTAATAGGCTTAGCCGAGACATTTAATCCATGAGAACCGGAAGCTTTACCTGAACTAGAAACTTTACCCAAAGAATATACCATAGTAGGTTTTTCAAGGATTTGCAATAAGTTTCTCAGCTTTTCAATCTCTTCCCTTGTTGAACTCTCCTTGTTTCTGAGACATCTGTAGTACTCTAGTGATTTTCCCAGTTAACATTTTCTCAAATTGGGTGGTAGTGATATCTTTCTTTGAAAAGGTTCGGCGATGAAGGCCTAAACAGGATTCGGCAATGAAGGCCTAAAAAAGTCAGCAATGAAGGCTGAAAATTTTGCTTCCCAAGAAGAGCCTAAAGCTCTGATACCATGTGGAAACTGAATGTATATTGAAAAACTGCTTATTTGAATTATACAAGAATCTTAGGTTTATATACAACTAACTAGGGGTTAAACTAGGAAACTAAATCTTCCTTAATTCTAGGGATACAAATACTTAATTCTAGAGATACAAATATAAATATACAGATTACAATATTACAATCAGCTGTAAATAAGTGTTTTCCCACAATTACTTTTTATTTTTCCAGCTTAATCTTGAAGCTGTTCCAGATTTCTTAGATCCTTGTTTCAATATGCATGGTAGAGTTCTGGATATTATTTTGAAGCTGCTCTAAATTTCGAGTTTGATTTGAAACTGTAACTATGAAGGGTCTTAAATTCTCAGGAAAACATGGAGAGCCACAGCATTTTATTCTGATCATACTTACATTCTTTGGAAAATACTTGGTAGATCAGTTTTATTGAACAATATCTTCAATATGTGATTTAAATATCAACCCTCAAATCTTCATCTTTGGAAATTGTGTTTCTTGACCCATAAGAGGAGCCATAACTATAGCTGACTTCATTTTAGGTTGAGCAAAGACGGAAAGAAGCTCTCTCTGGAACAAGTGAAGAGGCTGCTTCTGCATTGGAGAGTTCTCTACAAGAAGTTGTATCACGCTACAGTTTCAAGGATCTCTGGCCCTGTTCCTCCAAGGATCTTGACCATTTGTCGCGGCAAGAGGTTACTCCTATCAGAATAAACCATTTCTAATTTGAGATGGATTAATTTTATATTGCATCCCTCATTCATTCGTTTAATCTGTGTAAAGAATCATGTCTAGTTGTGACAATAAAAACATTACTGAAGTTCTCAGTGATGCTTTGACTTCATGCCCTTTTGATTTTTGCATGTTCAATTTTTGTATTTATGGTTAGTAGTATCTCATAAGTCATGACTGTGTAAATTGTTGGATGGAATGGCACTTCTCAAAACAAAGCCTTTCAATAAGAAAATGGAAAAAAATTGTGTTGCATGAGAGATAAAGAGTGATGGCATAATTCACTATATGTTGGAACAGGAATTATGTTTGGTGAGATACGTCACTAATACTGATTTCTGTTAATAGAAAGGATGGTTAAGCAGGACAAGTTATGACAAGTGAATGCAGGAGGGTGTAATTAGGACATTCAGTAAACAGTGGCTTAGGGCTAATATCTATTGTTACTTGTGTGCAAGGTGGAAAAATTTTGTGAGTATTAAGCCTTCCTAAGAGTTAGGATATAGGATTAATACTAGTAAGAAAACTTTGTATGTTGGACGTTTGATGTTGCCTTGATTTGTGATTAGTAACTTTGCTCTTTAGGTGGGAATTTGATGATAACCTGATTTTGGTTTAGCTTGGAGTTTGTAAGCAGCATTTTGGCATCTAAATTCAGAAAGGGACAAAGATAAAAAAACACATATCTGTCAGGTGTCACACCTGGATTCATATTGCACTTATTTGTTAGGCCTGGATCACACAGGTTTAAAATTTACTAGCTGCTGGATGTTGTCATTTACTTGCCCATGTAATTCAAGGAGAGCTGATGCATGATTATAGGTTCTTGAGTTCAAAATGGTGAACTGGCAAACATTACTTGCAGTCACTCTTGAACCACAGATAAAGGCCCAGTACTAGTAAAACACTCAAATACAACTTCAACACTTCTCCTGCTCTTATCCCTGCAACTGAAAAATATTAAACATTGCTAGCGCATAAAAGGGGAGAGAATGACATAAAGGAGCACTTTGAGAGCTGTCTGACCATGTCCTATTTCTTAGTGTTTATGTACAAAAGATAATATTACCGTATTACACCTTGTAACACTCCATTTCAAGCTGGTGCATATACTGCATAGCTTCTAGCTTGTTACAAATATAAGTCACGCTTGAACATCCTAAAGGTTTAATTAACAAGCTTGCTAACTGATCTACATATCTCACTGGTCTTGCGTGAGTTTCAATTTAGAAAGTTCTCTCTCTAATGTTGCAAAACATAGATTAGAAGCAACAGATATGGCTGCTTGGTAGTCACGTAGGAGATTTATAGGCTATGCATGTCTGAATCGAAGCTCCTCTTGCAAGTGTTCTAGCCAAACCAATTCACAAATGGATGAGCTATAGCTATGTAGTCTTATTTAGCAATCAGTCTTGCAACAAAAGTCTGCTTCTTAATCCTCCAAGATGCTAATAGTTAGAGGGGGAGAGAGAGAGACGCATCAAAATTTTGAGGATGGCAGCAGAGTGTTAAAAACTGATATGAGTGTTTAGATTGTTGTGATGGATTGTAGATGTAGATTATAATAAAAGTAAATGCTTAAACAAAAAATGAGAGACCTATGCTAATGACTGATGGGAAATTTGGAAGTTCATTGATGTAATGAAGTTACAAAATGAACTTCCAAATTTCCATGTCAAAATAACTGTGTACCATTTCAAACTTGATAATGGTACATAAATTTGGAAGTTCATAGATCCCTTTTCATATTGTAAGTGACATTATTTTTTATTTTAGTCATAACCTGTGTTTGATAGGGTTGTGTAATGGCATTGTAAAGGTAGATCCATAATTAGGCTCTTTCTAAACTTTTCAGTGAACCAAATGCATTCCTGCCTTTCAACATCTCTAGTCAAATGCAAATATGCTGATATTTCTTGCCCCAGATTATTGAAGTCTGTCTCCATAACATCTACCTGCTTGATGTTTGAAGCTTGACCAACATTTATGGTTCTTGCATAAAACCATAAACTTGGCACCCATGTCTTAGCAATAGATATGACAAAAAATTTAAGATTTCTTTGTGTAATTTCTGACAACTGTATTTATGATGGTGCTTGTAAACGTAAGAACTTGTAGAAGCAAACTACTAAAAAAAGATAGGAACAGGCAATGCTGGTGACCTTCTTCGTTCTGTGTCTTAATGTTTAAATTATTGACATTATATTTGCTAATTTTGAAACTCCATTGATATTCTCTTCAGTGGCTTGCTAAAAACATTGGTAAGAAAGTGGAGAAGTCAGCTCTCTCTAATGGATCTGCAACTATTGGTAAAACTTTTCTATTTGTTCTTGTTCCAGGTTAATATTTTTTTAGCTACTACCCATTTGTCTGAATCTGGTTTTCATTTGTACAGATAAGAGTCCATCAGTACCAACAAGCAATTCAACTTCTTCTCTTAAAGTCCATCATCCAGATACATCTCAAATGGTGATTTATGATCCAAAGCAACATCCTGGTATTGATTCTTGAATCATTATTTTCAGTAACAAGCTTTTATTTCGGTAAAAAATATAGGCCTCAATAATCATGTGATTGTTTTCAATGATGTTCTATTTTCCTGAGCAACTTTAGGGGACCATGGATGGATGGAGGATCTCAAGTGTTGTCATTGTGTTTAATTATAATTATGACTTATTCATATGCAATGGTATTTAGTGGGACTGGACTAGAAACTCTTAAGAATTCCTTTGCCGAGAATTATGTACTCATCTATGCATGAATTTAGGCCTATATTTCAGTAAAAAATATACCTCGTTGCCTCAATAATCATGTGATTGTTTTCAATGGGTTTCTATTTTCCTTTGCAACTTTAAGGTATCATGGATGGATGGAGGATCTGTCCTTGTTGTCTTTGTTTTAATTATAGTCTTGACTTATCCATATACATTGGTTTATAGTGGGATTGGAATATAAACTTATAAGAGTCCTTTCCAGAGAATTATGTAGTCATCTAAGCATGAATATTCATTGTTTGATGTGATTAACAAAATTTACCTATGGACCTCAACAATCTTGTGATTCCTTCCAGTGGGATTCTATTTCCTTCTCAACTTTAGATTATTTTTGTAAGTGACATGCAAACGAAATAAACCAAAACAATTGTTATCAATGTAAGTGACATGGAAAATGATGGCAATTGAAATCATTAGTAGGTTTTGTTTGTCCAGTTGACTTGCTCCATGATGAGGTTATACAAGGCATATTTATAGGCTAAAGAGGCATCGATATTGCAAGTAATAAGGTGATGACAACTCACTCACCCTGTGATAAAGAGGGTTAAGGACTGCCATGGGGTGACAAACTATTAAGTTTGACATTGTCACTGATGGTGTAGGATAGTGCCATGTGCCAATAAGGACTTACCGAATTACTTGTGGCTGTATTCATGTCCTAGTTAACCAAGCAAAAACTTTTCTAGACCTCAGTTTTTTTTTTTTTTTTAAATCTAAGATCCTGTGACCAATTCTGGGATTTATCCCATCAGATGATCAATCTTTGGTCTACTCTGGTGATTTGAAGCATTATGAGACATGCATGCATATGACTAATTAATAAATTAAGCCAAAATCATTCATTGATAGATGGCAAAGCGGTTTTACTCAGTGTCGTAGTTCTCAAATTTGGAATGTTATACCTAGGAATAGGCCTATTAATTTTTCTATAAATACTAATGTCCCTGGAAATGGCAAAGAAACTGAGTATTGAAGAGAAAAGAAATATAAAATATATTGGAATGCTAAATGATAAGGAACAAAATTCAGTACGCTGAAGGGCCTGGTCTTCTGGTCTGGAGTCATTGGAAAATATATATAGAAAAGGTTTTTTTCTCAGTAATTGTTAAAAGATGTAATAGTCAAGTTTGCCACCAGGTATTGGTACTGTTTTGATTATCCTAAAACTGTAAATAATACAATAATAACTGAGCCCTGATTCAGGAATTGTTAGAAGATGTATTAATCTAGTTTGGCTTCAGTCATTACAATCCTTTTGATTGTCCTCAAATTCTAAATGTAATAATAAAGCCTTGATAGATCTTTCCTTAAGTTGAAATTTGGCCAACTAAATCAGCAGACGGAAAAGAACGAAATCTTTTACTACTATTATTCTTTTTGAAGTCTTGACCCCTAAACAGCATATTAGCTTTGTGCCCTTTTCTATTGTTGAAAACTGTTTTACATTTACTGCAATAGAAATGAAGCTGGTTGATCATGTGATGCATACTCCTAGGTGTAAGTCTTAAGGAATTCTAATCATTAAGATTTTGTGGTGTTTCCATTTCCATTCCCTTTTTTATATCATTGCCTTTTAAAACATTGAATTCTATGCTTGTTGAATCATAGTGAAATAGTAAATACTTAACAGACTGAACTTGTTTGAACATAGGAGCTGCAGTTCCTCCAAACACAACAGCTCCTGCAATTCTTGCTGCTTCCAACCTGTCAAATCCCATGGTTATGGTATCAGGTGCTGCTTCCAACCCCTTGTCAAATTCCACAGTTGCCATGGCGGACGGTGGATCTGCCAATGCATTTCATGAAGTACTGAAAGGAACACCACCTGCTTTGCTAGCATTTTTGACAAGCTTGCCTGCTCTTGAGGGTAACCTTTTAAACTCCTACTGCAGTTTTGCATCCTGTAATATCAAATGCTAATTGATATAAACTTATAATCTGTATTCAAATTTGAACTCATAATCTGAATGCAACATATTTACAATGAAATAGAGCAATGCATCTACTTGAATTTGTCAGATTGATTGAGTGGTTTTCACATTGCTACTGTCTATTGATGTCTTTCCTTCAAATAGAATGACATCTTTTAGAAACTGGTTTCTTGTTTTCTTCTTTAGTCATTGTCAAATGAGACATCAGGATCGGTAGAAAGCAACAGAAACTGTAGATTACAACTTGAATTGAAATTAAAACTAGAAAAACCAGGGTTTAAATTTAGGAAAGATGTGATATCTTAATATTATCAACCTATGATCTAAATGGTAAAACTAGGGTTTAAATTCAGGAAAGATGTGATAACTGAATAATATCAACCTATGATCTAAATGGTATTTCTAGGACCTACCTCATGCCACGCTTCAAAGTATATGATGCGTTGGTGGCTATGATGTGCTAAATTTGAGTATGGAGCAAGAGAATGGCATGCAATCAATGCTTGTGCTTTTCCTTTTTAAATGTATGCCAAAAGGAACCAAATTGCATTTGAAAATAAGAAGGAAAACAAACAGGGTACAAATTCACAACCAATGAATCAAACCTTCTCGTAGGAATTAGTTGTTTATATTTTTAAAATTGAATATCAACCAAAAAAACCACAAAAAAGAAAAAGAAAAGATGATGTAGATGGCAAATTATTTTGCTAGAAGATAGATTTTGGACCAGATCTTTAGTTGGTTTGATAAATCATTAAACCGCAAAATTCCTGGCAATTAATACACACCTATGCAAATTGCATTAATATTTTGAAATCATTGGATGTGGTAATGAAATTGTGATTGGAAGGCTTATGGAGGCACCGGATAGGATAGGTGGCAAAGTGGGTTTAGAATGGGAAACAGAAGGAGAGGAGACAGGGCTCCTATTTTGCATTTCAGGAATTTGAACTTGTGTCTTATTATTATTTTTTATCACTATCACCAGTATTCTGCTAACTCAGGATCACAAGTTTCTTTCATTTATTTGAAACACATCATTTTTTAACCTTCAAGTCCTTGCTAAATTGGTCTCCTAAGAAAATTTTTTGTTTTGCCCTCATTGGTCTTTTCTAGTTGCCCTCAGAAATTGACTAGCATTTAACTTTGGAATAATGGTTCATTGTTAATTTTATCCATTTTAATATATTACTTTTATTTTTAATACATTGTGTCTTAAGGCTCATGCCTCGGGGAAAAAGCTACAATAGAATAATAAAAAAGAACCTCTTTGAGAAAGAAAATATAGGAAGAATACTGAATTCAAATGAAATGATAATCTAATGTATAAAAATATCTATTTTGATAAGCATAAAATATACAAATTTCAGGCACCACATAAAGAATTGAATAAAAATTAAATAGAAGTTACAAAACTTTTTAAAAAATTGAAAAGGATGATTGGAAATTGAAGATGACGATAAAAATAAAGTTTCATGCACAGTGGATTTTGTATGCAAACTATAGCAACTGAATTTTTTGTTGTTGTAGTTTCTTCTACAAGTATAAGAAGAGACTGCTCAAATGGCTGTTTGATTAATTGAAAAGGTAAATCCTTAATTTATGGTGTAAAAAATCAACTAGTAACATTGACAGAGTCGAAGAAAATCAAATTAGTAACTAGGTGGGTCTGGCACTAAATGCATTATAGAAATTTTTGTGTGAGAAAGAGTTTATGTATACACACACACACAAAGAGTTCAAAATCCAAGGGGGAGGGAAGCCTTCCTTGTCTCCAAGGCTTTGTCCCTATTTGTGCCTTAAGTTATTTTGAATGCTTCGCTGTACATTTTAGTCCTTTAGGCATGGTGCATAAGAACCACTCACGTAGAACCATAGAAACTAATATAGAGTGATGACATCCCTGCAGTCCCATTTCTCTATATTTGATGCTCTTGCATCAGTTCATATTCACACGCATGATCCTGTAAAAGACATAACTTTAGTCTTCTAGGACACATTTGCATGATTCTAATCACCGGTAGGTGGTAGCAAGAGCATGTAAATACTCCGTAATTCTAATTGGTTGTCCCATCAAAGTGCAGTTGTTTCTCTCCTTGTTTTGTCTTTTTATGGTATTTTTTCTTTTTCTTTTGATTAATGATTTCAGGTCCAACCCCAAATGTAGACATTGTGTTGTCCATTTGTTTGCAAAATGACTTACCAACCGACCAGGCTAAAAAATCAACTACCATCCCATCTCAAAGGACTACAGGTCCTGCTCCTACCACAAGTGATCTTTCTGGTTCAAGCAAGTCCCATCCCATCCCTAGTAGCTCATCTTTCAGACCGCGGGACAGGCAACTTGGAAAAAGAAAGGATCTAGACAGTAAGTTTTATTCCTTATTTGTTGGCATGAATTTTTCTTATCCATATCTTATGTTTTGAGGATAACGGCATATTTTCTTATTTCTGCTTGAGATGAGGGATCAGCCATGGTGGGTTGAAATCAATTTAACTAGGATATGCTCTCACACTTATATGTGCAATTTTTTGTTAGTCTAATGTTGGGCACAGGAACATACCTCATCTTAGTGTTGGTAATGAAGACTTGTGCATAATCAGTGTGTTACTTTTGTGAAACCTCATTTACATGTGGCAAAGCATTTTATCGCTGATTTATGGTTTATGTAGCTCTACAATTATTTCCGAGAGTTTAAACTGTCGAGTTCACGTTGACATGTAACACGCCATTATTGAAAAAAGTAGTTTATTTTCACAAGTTCATCAAAGAGATGATAGTAGGCATTTAAGTATAATCCACAACCACAACCACTTTGGAAATGACCTAAAATTTGAAAAAGTAGCTTATCTCCGCTCAGGGTGAGATTTGGCTTACCTTTGTTTTTTTATTTTACCAGGGCAAGAGGAGGATGAAACGACAACAGTTCAAAGCCAACCACTGCCTAGAGATGTTTTCAGGATACGACAGATTCAGAAAGCCCGAGGAGGATCTGCGTCACAGACTGGATCAGTATCTTATGGAAGTGCTCTTTCTGGGGATCTCTCCGGCAGTACTTGTTAACCCATTCTCAGCTCCTTTGGGAAATGTTTGGATAGCTCAGTAAATGCATTTTCTCCCTACAATTTTCATTTTCTTATTAATCCTATCTCTCTCAGTATAGAATAGGTTAAATTTTGCAGATCATCATGTTATTGCATGAAAATTCGATTTTAGTTTTTATATTATAATTTATCAAAATTGACTTTATTTTTTGAAATTTTAAAGAATTAATTTTCCTTCACTATATGTGTTGACGTATATGGTGATTTGCTGATATGACATTAACATTATAAACGTAGTAGTATCAGAAATTCTTTTAGAGCAGTTGAAGATGTGAAATTTTTTGTTGGCCAGTAGGGATATTTTACTTTATCTTCTCTGTGAAAGTCCTTTGTCACCAGTCCCTCTCTGTCTAGAATTCATTCACCTGTTAAATTCAAAAATTTACAAAGCAAAATTAACATTTAAAAAAAAAATTGCCCCATTCAAAAGTCATTGCCACCATTAAACTTTCATCTTGGAAATATATAGGAACCAAGAACAGCCAAGTGAGGATTTGTCTGTGGTTCATCATTCTGAGCAAACGGCTTCACGTTCATCTGCACATTGAAGTTTGAAATGGTTGGATAAGGGGAAGGTAACCATCATTGTATTAAACTATGAATAAGAATGAATCACTTTGTTAAATTCAAGATTTTAATTTCATATCTGTAATCAGTGTATCCTTTGAATGTATTTTCATAGAAGGATTGAATCCTAAACCTTATGCTTAATCCACCGATCATAGAGATGAAATTCTAAAGCTAATATATACAATGGCGCATAAGATTAAGATATGATAAGATAATATTATAATTAATATTAGATTAAATAATATTATACTATATTTTATTTTATATATGTAAAAATTATGATGATATAATTTATTTATTAGTCAAAATTATTTTTATTTAAAGTTTATACAATTTAAATTATTGATGTAATATTTAATGGTACAATAAGATAAATAAGTTTAATTTCATAGATTAAAAATAATTTCTTCACTTTTGAAGGATTAAATTATCCTATGTTAAGAGAATGATTAATTTTTCTTACAATTCTATCTTCTTTTTTTTTTAAATATAAATCAAATATTGTATAAAATAAGTATTATTTTATCTTATTCATTATCCTATATAACAAACATAACATAAGTACATAATACATAAAATAACAATTATATGTAAATTTTACTGTCAATATATGTATATTTACAGAGACCATAAAAAATTTGAAAAATAGGAAAATTTTAACAATCATAAAGTCAATAGGCCACATTTTCCAAGTTTTTAAACGCTAAGGACACCATGCGCTTTACAATCAATACTAATAAAAATCAAGTTATTCTTTCGATATTTTTAAGTAAATCCATTTACAACACTAAATCGATAAAAGTTCAGTTTGGGGGGATTTTGTATCTTTAAAATTCTAACCGTTGCTAAAGATCTCATATTTTCAAAATTTTCTCATAAACTGATATTTTCTGGTTGCAGAACGTTGGGGAACAATTGAAAAACTTAAATTGGGTACAACTTTCAAAAAAAAAAAATGTTGTATTGGTTTGAATTAACACTATTACTCACTGAGGAAAGCAATGTATAATACACAAATGAATTACCTCTTCTTTTGATTTTAAGCAAAATGAATATTTACTAACAATGTAAAAAAGATCTCAAAAAATAATACATTACTGGTATATCACCTGTGCTACGTCGCAAGAACAACAATTTTTTCTAGTTTATTGTGAGGGTCTAATTGATTAACAGGTAGAGAAGTATTAATCAATCAAAACCAAATTAATTAAGTGGTACTTTTATATATTGCTATTGATGTTATTACTATAAAAAGAAATAACAAAATGCTGGGCATATCTAAAAAAGAGTTGTGAAAGAATAAGTGATCGTGGGCCTATAATAAATTTAAATTAAGTTGATATATGAATGAGTTAAGCCTAAAAGGAAATATCAAAAAAAAAAAAATCATAAATGGATGAAAATAAAAAATTATTGAAACATAAATATAGTAATCATAATACTAACAGTAATTTGAATATATACACAAAAGACCTAACGTGAGTCGGAGAAAGGTGAATTGTAAAAAATCCTTTTGAAAGAAAGATGAAGGTCTCATATTTTTCCTCATGTAGACAACGTTATCTCAGTTTTCATTTTTCTTTCTTCAATGTAAGCCTTTATATTTTGATCTTGAAAAGTAGTTAAATAATTTTTATATTATTAAATTCATTGTTGTGAACTTACTACAAATCACTAAACTTAAGAGTACTTGTTGCCACTATCAATGAATTCTTGAAATGCAGTTGAATCCTATCAAAGAATAGTGAAAAAAAATCTACCTTCATGGCATTTATTGTTGTTGGACCAAACGTCCTACTACATCTATTATCATTTAAAGAGAAAATGTATCACTTCATTAAAAAAAATATGAATCTTTACTTATTTAAGATTCATCTTTAGAAAATATGAATACATTATAATTGAAAACAATGATATCCTTTGTCATTAAAAAAATCAAGTAGTTTATTCTTTTAGGATCAAAATAACTAATGGTTGATTTCAACCTCTCGATTATAGTATTATTTCTTTTGGTTTTATATGACAAGCCCCACTTTAATCTTTTTTCCATTGTATATTAAGTTGGCAGCAAACAACTATTTTAGTGGTTTATTAATGGCATGTTTTGATTTGTGATTTTTTTAAAATAGTTAAAAATTATGATTTCTTGTCATTAAGAAAAAAATGACATTGTTTGTTTATTCTATTCTTTATTTATAGCATCTGGATACTGCCACACACGAGCCAACATTTTCTCGTGTTGATGAAAAGAGTAATGACATAAGTGATTAGTGTCTTGAAAGCAATTTATCCCACACATAGGTATGGAGTTTGAAACAGAGGAAGCATCATATATATACTACAACATGTATGCTGGTTATATCGGTTTTAGTGTCCAAAAAAGTTGGGTGAATAAAAGTAAAGTTGATGGTAAAACAATTTTATCTCGGAAGTTTTGTTGTTTCAAGAAACAAGTTGAATGTAAAGCAAGTTGAAAGAAGCCTTGGAATGAATTAAGAGTTAGTTGTAATGCTCAAATGATCATTGGACATCGAGAAAATGGAAAAAATCGTGTCACATTTTTTTAAGGACAACATAATCATGAAATAGTGACCCTTTAAAGCAAACACAAACTACCATAGCAAAGGAAGGCATTCGTTGCCCATGCAGTCGAGCTGAACTTGCAAAACGTTCAGGGATTCGACAAAAGTGAATGCTTGATTATATAAGTGAGCAAGTTGGCGGCAAGAGTATCTTGGTTTCATACTCAAGGATATTGGTAATTATTTGCAATCAAAGAGAATGAGGGAGATGAGAGACGGAGAGGCCTGTACTCTTATTCATTATCTTGAGACAAAAAAATCAGAAAACCCATCATTTTTTTATAAATTGCTATATGATGTTGAAGATTAGATAACTAATATTTTCTGGGTTGATTGAAAGATGGTGGTAGATTATGCATTATTTGGTGATTTTTTTGGTTTGACACTATTTACAGAATCAACAATGCCAATCGTCCATGTGCACCAATAATTAAAGTTAATCATCATAAGAAAACTATTATTTTTGGTATAGCATTGCTATATGATAAAATTGCATCTTCTTTTGAATAGTTATTTACAACTTTTCTTGAGGTGATGGGTGGGAAATAGCCAATAACAATATTCACAGATCAAGATGCAATTATGCCAAAAGCAATAGGTAAAGTTTTCCCAGAAACATATTATCGTATATGTTTGTGGCATTTGTTCCAAAATGCTCTCAAACATCATGGTCATCTTTTTAAAAGGTTAAGTAATTTTGGCTTTGAATTCAAGCACTGCATGTATGATTTTGAATATGAAGAAGATTTTATTCATGCTTGAGACTCATTGCTTGAGAATTAAATATTTCGTGAGAACAAATGGTGTGAGGAAACCTTTAAAGAAAGGAAGAAATGGGCAATGGCTTATGGTAGGCAGACTTTTTTTGCAGGTATTAGAAGCACTCAATTATGTGAAAGTTTTAACAGTCACGTGAAATGTTTTTTTGAGGCTTCAACTCGATATGTTGAAATTTTTTTCCAAGTTTGAAAAGTTGTTGGATGATGTAAGATTCAACGAGTTGGAATCTAGTTACGAGATAAGTCAACTAAAGCTTGCTTTGAAGATGAATGTGCCAATCTTGAGAAATGCTAGAGATATTCATACGTCCAACATCTTTGTTTTGATTAAACAGGAATATGAGAAATCTGTAGGGATTGCAGTTAAACCATGCACTGACAATTCACCCTTGTATGAATACAAGGATGTGCATGTATGGACTTACACAAGAACAGAAGGTTATCTTTAATTTAAAACAAAAGTCAACTTCCTATTGTTGTATGTCTTTTGAGGTTTATGGATATTTTTGTAGTCATGCACTAAAAGTGTTAGATACTTGGAATATAAGGGTAGTCCCTCTTCATTATATATTAAATAGATGGACAAAATGTGCACGTGAAGATTGTGTGTTAGAATACTGTGGAAGGATTATGAAAGAAAATCCTAGACATAATGTTTCAAATCGTTGCAAGGATTTAAGTCGAAATGCAGTTAAACTTGCAAGTAGTGCTGCTGAATCAGATAACGCAGCTATTTTTCTCGCTAGAAAAATGGTCGAATTAAGCCTTGAAGTGGAAAATTTTTTCACTAAAGCTGAAAAAATTGTAAATTATGCATCTTCTAAATCTATAGCCATGGATACTTTTCAAAGCTTGGGTAATAATGATAATTTTACTAGTGATCATAACAAAAATTCTTCAGATGGTGTCATTACTATATGTAAAGCAAAATGTATCAAGAAAAGTCTTACTATAGCTTTTGCCAAAGATGGACATAAAAAAAGTTTCATTAGAAAAGGAAGGAAACCTAGTAGAAAGCTAAAACCTGGCATAAAAGGTGCTTCATTTACCATTCCTTGCTCCTAATGAAGTGAAAATATTTTAAGTGTTTCTCTTATGGTAGATTTAGAGATCACACTTATTTTAATTATTTACTTTACATTTTATGTACTTTTATAATTTTCTAATCTATATATTTAATGCACATCTTCTTTGTAGAATAGGATCTCTATAAATTGCAAGCAAATTCCATACTCCCAAGCATATCTAATCAGTAGCCTTTGATCCATGCCGAATGAATTTTCTTAACCATACTCAATTGTTACAATAGGTTAAATTTTTTGCTCAAAAAAATGTGATTGTCTAATTTTCTTTGTTTTATTTATAGGTTTCTTTCAATTTTATTACAGGCATCTTTGCCTTCTAATCAATTTTAAGGTTGTCTATTTGATAGTTGTATAAACTTAAATACGGTATTCAGTTATTTAATTTAAGTAATTGAGATTAATTTTCCAGAATAATTGTGTATAATTCTTTTGTGAGTTTTATTGTAAGGGTCTTTATATTTGAACTCATTTTGAAAGACTGATTGGAGTGATATCAATTTGAACATGGTGGTCAAGTACTTATTCTAAATTTTTAGTTTGCTTATGGTTTTAACTGTCAGCTGCAAATACAGGTCGGCTAACACTTTAAAATGTCAAATATGGGATTTCTTTTTTTTGAACTTTCAGCAGCAAGAGCCAATTGCCCAACATATGCAGATGCTAGACATGGAAGTTGTCATGGCTACACCAAGCAATTTTGCTTCAATAGGAGTACAAGTAGGCCATGAAACTGATGAAGCTAAGTGAAGACCAAGGAGAATGAGTTTTTAGAGATTCTTTTCAATTGTTTTAAACTTTTTTTTTGGCTATTTACATTGATTTTGTGATGACCTCTGATTTGTAACTATGTGTTTTCCAAGCATCATGTTTATTACTTAGTATAATTAACTTTTTTTTGGATTTTAGTAAAAAAGGTTCTACTTTCTCTGTATGCTTTCTTGTTCGTTAATAACATGATAAGAGTTATTGAATAATTCAATATCTTAATAACACATTGTTAACAATTTTATAAAAACTCAGTTGTATGAATTTATTTGTTAGCTAAATTTAAAAATGCCTTTAAGCAAGCCTCAATGATGTTACCATGAGAAAATTTATGTTGGTTAATCTTGATCCTTTGTTAATTTTACGTATTTTATATGGTTTCAAAACAGAAGACAAGTCTCAACTCTAAGCATATTAGCAAACATAGTGTGCTGGAAATTCACTTAAGCATTTTATCAAACATAGAGTAAGCAGTGTCTTTAGTACATGGAAATAGATACTTAAAAGGCTAGGAAAAGACTCGCTGCAACACTTACACAATAGTTACAAGCATTTTTCACACAACACTCACAGCACAAGTACAATATTAAACATGCTACCCACATATCTAACTGCTACTTGTCTTTAATTCTCAACAGTGACTCATTTATAACTTGCAGCTGGCAACATGTTGATTTTAGTTCTCGATTTTACTTTCTCTTGCATACTCATGATAACCAATATTTGCAAAATTGTTCATAGTACCTTGATGTTTTATCTTGAAGTTCACCAGAAGTCATCTTGCGACCATGAAAATTTTGTAAATATCATCGCAATTGAGAACGTTGCGTTTGTGACAAGACACTGGCCTAATTGTCAAACATTCATTATCTCAAGATAATCCATTGCATGTGGTTCTGTTACATAGAGGTCCTTGTGCATATATTCTTTTCGCCGGCTGACTCTGGTGAGGTACCAAGTGCAAAAAGAAATGAACATGTGTTTTTTCAGCAAAGTGAAAAGTGGATTGCATTTCCAACGTTTACCAAGAGCATTTAGATTAGCACCATGATCTTGTTTATTTCTGGTCAGCCACACTGTAATATCTGCTTGAGCAATATGACTCAGGCTTCAGGTTAGTTGTTCTTTTTGTTAATTTTCAATATCAGCAATGTATGGATATAAGAATCTGAAATTTTATCTGCATCTGTTTTTTGTTGTAGCAGAAGATCATGCAATGTGTTTATATATACAATTAACTAATCATAATTTAAATGCAGAGCATACATTTATAAATAATAGAATCTTACATAATTTTTTGTCGTGATTGAATAACTGCAGAGTTATAATGCTTAATTGCTGATGAAATGTTCACGTTACTTATACACTTTGTTGGTTTTAATTCGATATGAACTGTATCCCAATGTTAAGGAACCAGTTGATAATTTGGTTCAAGATAAATTGACATATCATGCTTGAAAAGCCTGCACAAAAAGGTAGGCTTTTTTTTTTTTTTTTTTTTTAATGTGGTGAAATATTGACTTGAGATGAGTCTGCATTCATGGAAATGGATGTAACTATATAACTAAATTTAGGCGTTGTTTGTATCATTTAGGAAGTTGAAGCACTCAAGTATGGTGATATTTGGAAATAGTTTTGCATATGAAGATGAATGATATAAAAACACAAATTTCTGCAACAATATTTTACCCAAAGCTCAAACATTGGATTTGGGGTAAAGCAGTGCCCCCTGCAATCATCCCAAAGCTCGAGCTTGGCCAGGTTTGCACTTGAAACGTTCCTTGAAGAATGAAAGCTAGATATGATAATTTGTGTATTATAAAATATTAAAATTTATATATTAGTGTGATGTTTTACATGAAAATTTCGTATAATAATTCTTATTGACATGAAAACATGAAATACGTTTTTTTTATTTTGTTGAACTCGTATATAATTATTGTTAAAATTTCAAATTGTGTGATATTTTTTTTTTTCATATCATATTTATGTCGTGTTTTTAATTGTCAAATCTAATTAAAATAAGTGTATAATAATCAATTTTGAATCAGTGTTCTCAATTTATTTATAAATAGGCATTTCAATTTAATCAGATCAAAGGCATGAGAATTTGAAATTTTCCGCGATAAGTTGCCATGAGGAATGCGATCTTCGGCATGATCAAGTTCCAGGTCATGGATCAACAAGTAAATCGCATCATTAGTTTGTGATCTTTTTGTACAATTTCTTCGAAACTTTGAATTTTATTTTTTCATTCACAACCTTTTAAATTCGATTCAAATTTATCAATTCATCAATGTGTTGCTAAAATTTGGACAAAATTTGCCACGCATGTGCTTAACAAAACATGTATCAAATTTTGTTCATATTTCATTCAAATTTTATTAACGAAACACCAAATGCCAAATTTCATTCATATTTCATCCAAATTTTATCTATCGATGGATGTTCTTCATTCAAATTTTATCTTCATTAAAATTTTATCTAAAAATTGACGGAGTACTTCAAACAAATTCAGAAGATCATAAACCAAAAATCGAGTTTTTTTAAATAACAAATGAGAATGAAACATTATGAAAATATCAAAAACTAATGATTAAATTTACTCTTCAATCAATTTTTTTTGATACATAAGAGGTCAAAGTCTAAGAAAAAATGAAGAAGAGAAATTTGCAAGTGTTGAAATTGAACACAAACCTTGCTGTAAACAAGTGGGTGAACCATTTTGGGGCCATGTTCCTATTTATTATCAAATAAGTGAAATTTATGAACCTTATAATTAGGCAAAAGCAATAAACATAGCAATGCACAAGAAAACAAAAAAACAATAGTGAACTATCTCCTATATGGCTTGAAATCATAATTTTGAAACTCAGAACCAAAGGTTATAGACTCCTCATCAAGTTTCTTCTTCAATCTCCTCCATGTCCTCAACATATTAGACTGTATCAAACCTTTGTACAGTGTCTCAAAAGTTACTTTTTGAGGAAGCAAACCCTTCTCTATCATCTCCACAAAGAGCTGGCATGCTTCTCTCCATTTCTGTTTATCACATAAACCATTGATCAACAATGTATATGAATCCAAATCAGGTCCTGCTGTACTCCCTTTGAGATCATTCCAAATTTCTTGGACAATATCGATTCTATCCAACATCATGAACATCCCCAGTAAGATGTTGTATGTATGCAAACTCAACCCACATGATTTATCCTCCTTCATCTTCCTATACAAATTCAAGGCACCATTGATGTCCTTCCTCCCTCTGTACTCCTTGAAGAAACAATTATAAGTTGCAGCTGAAGGACTAACCCTATTACTCACCATCTCACCAAGCAGCTTCTCAGCCTCCTCGAGCCTCCCGCAGGAGCAAAGACACTTGATAGCTGAAGTATAAGTAGCCACACTGGGGCAAATACCTTTCTCCTTCATATACTTCAACTTATCAAGTGTTAACTCAGGCTTATGCGCCCTGCTATATACATGTAAAACGATTGAAAAGCTGGTTACATCAGGCTCAATCCCTCGTTGGCGCATTTCGTTGAACAATTTCTCGGCATTCCTTATTGTTCTGTCAAACCTCTCATCAGGATGTAAACTTGCTCTTCTACAAATCCCGTTTAGCATCACATTATAAGTGACAACATTGGGTTCCATTCCTCTTTCGATCATCTCCGTTAAAAACCTCTCTGCCTTATCGATTCTGCCAATCTTGCACCACCCACTTATTAGGATTGTATACATTTTTGAATCAACCCGAAACCCAGATTTCCTTTTGTTAAAAATCTCAACAGCCACCTTCACGTAGCCGTATTTACAGAGTGTGTCGAGCAAGAAACAGAAGCAAAACGAACCATTTTGACTAAAGCTGTCAGTGTCGTTGTCAGCAGCAACGAAACATCCCATATCATCGTAGGCGCGAATGGCTTGACGGGTTAGGCCTGCAGCGATTAAGCGACGGATCAAAATCATGAAAGTAGAGGAATCGGAAGAAATGTTTAATTGATCCATTTCGAGAATGAGCTGCCAAACGACGTCGAATTGGCGAACTTTGCCGAGTATGTCGATGATGAGGTTGTAGGAGGCGGTGGAGAGGAGGGAAGAGGGAGAAGGAGGGAGGGATTTAGAATAGAGGAAGAAGGAGAGGGCAATTTTGGAAGAGTGTTGGAGACGGAGAAGAGTCTGGTGTAGAAGGAAAGGAGTGAGGGAGATGCCATGGAAGAGTTGGATGGAGGATTCCATGCAGTGGAAAGGGTTGTGCTGGGTGAGGAGGATTTGGGTAAGGGTCTCAGCTTCATTTGAGGGTTCGAGTTTGGGGAGGTTGAGGGAAGGAGATGAGAAGAAACGGAGGGAGGAGAAATGGAGGAGCAACCGTTGGGAAATGGAGGTGGTTGTTAGACTTTGAGTGCATGGTCGAGATAATCTAAACGCCATTTTCGATCCTACCTCACTTCTCAGGCAAACTCCGTCTCTAGTTTTGAAGTTTGGTTTCTGGGGAAAAGAACAAAATAAAAAGGGGGAGGGGTTTGTTCCAATCCAATTTGACTTGGTTAGCCGTTTATGTGGGAGCAAACTTGGCATGCCGAAAATCTTAAATAAAATTTTTTTAAGTGAAATTTATAAAATTTTTTATTAAAAATAATTAAATAAAAATAAAATCGATAGATTAAAAAATCTCGTTATATAGATTAAATGTATAAAATTAATAAATTTTGATATATATTTTTTGATAAATATTTTTAACAAAAATATTGATAAAATTTTTACTATTAAATAAATATCGATCAAATTTAAATTATAAATAATTTTTTTAATAATTTTTTTTTACATATTATTGATTTTTATATTGAACTCTATCAATCTATCAATTTAAATTTTTTATTAAAATTTTTATTAAATTATTTTTTAAAAAATTTACAAACTTCACTTAACTTCATATAAATTTTGTCTCTTGACATATTCAAAAGTATAGTAAGATATCACGTGAGTAAACATGAAAATATTATAGTATAGCCACAACGTTTTTTTGAGGTAAATCAATCAATTTCAATCATCAATGATGAATGCTACTTCTTTTACTTGTTAATTATTGGTTCAATTTTGATCTCCACGACCTCATCCAATTTTCTTCTTTCCCATATCAAAACCAACCCATTTTCTACATTTTTTCGCTTATATTTTTATTAAAACATTTCATTCTCTCTAATTCCAACAATCTCCTTGAATTCTTCATTCATCCATATTATTAAACTTACTAATTTTAACTTCCTGTTAACCGCATTTGGTTTAGCTACATGCTACGCCTTTGTTTCTTCTTTTTTTCCTTCTGCTTGTTGCTATTTTCTTCAATTTTCTTCCGATTGTCTATTTTTCTTTGGATTATTTTCTTTATTGATCAATTATTTTCATTTTGCATTAATGTATATATATGATTTTTTGCTTCGATTATTTCTATTTTTGTTTTTGCCATTTTTAAATTTTCTTTGATTTCATTTCATTTGCGTTTCTGATTTGCCTGTGTGATTTGTTTCCTTGTTTTTGCTCCCTTTTATATTTCATTTTCATATATTCTCGTTAGCATGTTTCGTTTGTTATTTTTTCTATTAGGTCTTTCTAATTTATGTTTCTATTCAATTTTTTTTTTTTGTTTTTGTAGGTTGAAATCTTTTTTTCGCTTTATTGTCTTTGTTTTTGCGAGATTGATTGTGATATATAGTACTTTTTTTTAGTCTAAGGTTTGTCAAAGTTGGTGTATTCCATACTTTTTTGTTGGCATATTGTCCTTTTTATTGTTCTTTCATAAATTAATCATTTTTTTGAATTGTTATACTGTGGTTAAATGGTTATTGTATCTGATGTTAGGTATCTCATTACTTTCTCAGGTTAGTTTTCTCTTTTGATATTTTTTTTTGTTGGTTTTGCTTGGTTCTTCTAGCTTTTTTTTTTTTTTTAGTTTTACTATTTCATTGTTTGATTTCTTTGATTAGTTTTGTTCTTTATTATGTTTCATTCATTTTTTTGTTGTTATAATGGTTTCGTTTATCTGGTGTTTCCTTTTAGAGTTTTGTTGTCTCATTATTTCACTAAGATGTATTTTTTTATTTTCTTTTATTTTGTATTTTAGTTTCAAAGTTTGGTATTCTTTATTTCTTTTGAATTTCACTATTCTTTTTTTGTGTGATTAAGTAGTTATGGGTCTTACTATTTATTGTTTGCTTCAGTTATGTTGATGGGTTGCATCATGTAATTGCTTTGTTGAAATTAGCATTGAATGTTTGGTTTGAACATTTATTTTTCCTTATTTATTTGTTATTACTTTTTTTCACCCATGGAAGATTGGCCTTTCTTTTCATTATTCTTATTATTTTAGGTTGTTGTATTGTTCAGTTTTAAATATGTTTTTATATTATTGTTCATGTTTGTCATGCTTTTTGGTTTACGTCTTTTTTTTATCTTTTTTAAATATTTTTAGGTTTGGGTTATTTTTTTTCTTGAAGAAAACAACGGTATTTTAGGGATTTTTTTTAGTTATGTTAAATTTATGTTGTTTTATATATACATCTTATTATTTGAGATTTTGTTTATGTTTGTTGTTAATTGAGTTATGATTGTTTTGTGAATTTAGATGACTGTGCCTTTATTATTATAAGATTGTTTCTTTTTTTTTTTTTTGTAGATTTGATCGTTTTAGATATCATTGAATTGCAAAAATATTATTGCAGAGGCATTGGATATTATTCTCATCTATTTTTACTTTACGTTTTTTTTTGTAAGACGTATTTAAAAGTCACTTTGGTAGATGTATTGAACTTTTTTGTTTTCGTTGTTTATTGTTTCTTATGATTTCTTACATCCGTTGTATATTTTTTATCATAAATTTGAGGATGTTAGCAATTTATTCTTATCAATGATTTACATTTTTTGTATTGTTTTCCTTTTTAGATTTCACATGGTATGATTACGAGAATATGCTCACATGAAGGATTTTATGATTTTTGCATTATTTAAATTAGTTTGTGTATTACTTCAAATGAAAAATCCTAAATGATGTATCAAGATATTATTTATGAAATATTGTACTTTAGTTGATGTGGATTATTTTGTGCTTTAAGTCATGCCTTTTTTTTTTTTTTGGTTCCATTTTGCTTTTTGCTATTTTGCTTACCTATAGTCATATTGATGTTATTTTTTGGAGATTTATGTTTATAATATTATTATGTAATCTTTTTTTTTTTTCATTTTTTATGGCAATTAGAGATTTAAATTGCAAATCCTACTCACATTTTCGATTACAATGTGTTTATTAGAGTTACAAACATAATGGAGATCATCGTAGTCATTACGATCATCAATTTTTTTTTTTAAATTTACACAACTTGATACAAAATGTAATAATTATAATTATAATTATAAAAATTCTTATTTTATAATTTTTAAAGTGGTTTATGATCTTTTATTTACTTAGAAAAAGTTATTCATAATTTTTTCAAATTATATAAAGTATTTATATTTGATTTAGTAACAAATCTTTACTTAAGAAAAATTTATATTTAATATTAATTTCAGGCAAACTAAATATATATTAATAAAGTAAAACATATTAAATGTCAAGTATTTATATATAATAATTTTACAAACTTAAAAAACATAATTATAATAGATTATAAAATGCATGATTTGTTAAGTAATTTATTTTTTAGCATATTAATTGATTTAATATTTTTATCATAAATTACTTTTAATTTATTCTATAATAAACAACATTTTCAATTACTATTTAATTACACAAAAAATAATAAGAACTAATCTAATACTAAAAAAATTAACAAAAAAAAACCATTACTAAAATTCAAATATAAAATCATAAATTAATAAATTTTTCTTTAAATAAAAAATCCCTATTAGCTAAAAATTTTTAAAAATCCCTAAAAAAATAAAAAGCTAAATCCACAAGCCCCTTATACATGCATCTTCATCATTAACTATTCTCTTTTTATTTCCCCTAATTTTCCCCCAATCTCTAACTCATTCACGATTTTCCTTTCATTTTTTTCTCTAAGGTACCTCTCATCCCAAATCCCATAAACCTAAATCTCGATTTCAACATTCCTACACACCCATAATTGCAATTCCCACCCACATTCCCTTTATTTGTCTCTTGTCACTCATCTCTCAGGAGTTTCAATTTCAAGCACAGACTTTCACTAGCAAAGCCCAGTTTCATTTAACCAAAAATCACAGCAAGCTTTCAAAATTTTCAACAAAAAAAGCAATATAAATGTTAAATTGCTTGTGCTTGATATTTTGTAAGGATGAAATTGTGGATTGAAATCTTTGCCAACCTAGGGTTCTTTTCTATTTGAAGGTTTTAACTCGAATGATTTTTTTTTTTTGCTTTTTGCATAGAATGTTTGAATGAAAAATGGAGTAACAGTTGATAGCAGACAATAGTACTACTATTTATTAATTTGCCATTTTTCGTGATCATTACCTATCACTACTATCATAATTCAAATTCATATCTACTTTTTAATTAATAGTGGTGGCGGACAATGGCGTTATCATGAAACAATGCCACTACACCACTACTCCACTGCTATTTGAATCTCTAATGACGATTGTTGTCTTAATGAATGTGAATTGATAAAAAGATTATCATTATAAATATATTTTATTGTTCAATTATCCATGTTGTTTGTTTTCTTTTTATTTTTTTATTATTATTTTGAATTTTATAAGAACTCAGCATCGTTAAGATCATAGAATTTATGATGCATGTAACTATATTTTAGGTATTACTACAGTTCATTTTTATATTGTGTTCCACTCTTAGATTATGCAATCATATGTTGATCTAAATGTTTTGTTATGAATTGATGTTGTCTGTTGATTTGTTTAATTTATTTAAATATTATTTTTCTTTCTTACATTTATATTTTTTATTTTTTTATCATAACTATGCTGCTGCTACATGATGTTTTCTCATTTTGTATCTATGAAACGTCAACTTTTTTATGTTAAGTTAAGAATAAAATTTTATTATAAATATATTATAAAATTTTTTATTTATTTTTTATAGGTCGCATTCGAAGCTTATTTGGTCTATTGTCCTCCTTTATCGTATTTTATGCATTGCTAGGTTTGCTTTTTGACCTCTTTATTTTAATCGCGTTGTTTGTCTTTTAATTATGTACCCAATTTGTTTTTACGTCTTTAACTATACTTACATTCTTTATCTTGAGATTAACTTCTTTTTGTTGTTGTTTTAACTATTCAATTTGTAAATGGTGTTGCAAAGGCTAATGGGTCTAAACTAGGTTATAAGAGTTGGGGTTTTGCACTTTGGAATATGGGTTATGAAGGTGGCATTGACCGCATTGAGTATTTTTGAATCAAGGAAGATGTTTTTAATGGTTTGGCAAACTTTTTGCTTAGTTAAAACCCAGCAATGTTGGAAAAATAAAAGATGTAAACCATCAAGACCAAGGGCTTTATGTGGTTCGAAGGTCCATAAAGCTTTTTAGATTTTCAGAAAAGTGTATGAAATA